ATCTCTCTCAAAGAAACTGCGACCCCCCCCTCCCTAAGCCCCGCCCCACCACCTCCCCTCCGTCCGTCAGGCGACCAAATACAACTCTCTCGCTGGGATCCCTAACGTATGACGTGCCTTGATTGGGGGAAACTCAGCTGACAGTCGTTCATAACTTTTGACGCAGCAAGGACGTACTTTTTGCGATTCTTCCGTACCGTCATCTCCTTTGTCTTGTCAACGTTGAAGACAGATTCATCAAACTTGTCGACATGGAGCTTTTTTTTCCAAAGTAAAAAAACTTCTCAAAAAAGGCTCGTGCCAAGAGCAAGAAGGAGCGGTAGAAATGGTGATACACAAAGCCACTAACTGCATCTGTTAGAGCCAATCAAGCCTTGGATCCCTTTGTGGTCGGTTGATTGCAACTGGACTGGCATGGGTGGACAAAAACGCTGTTTTGTACGTCGGCAGGCCCCGCAAGTCATTGTGTAGGCTAAATCACATTCGAAATGCGATTATGATTTTACATGGAAGTGAACTCAGGGTACAGCATCGTTGGGAGAATCCCATCGGGGCGAGCTGTTGTAGACAGCCTTGAGAAAATTGTTCCGAAACCACTAGAAACTTTTTGGCTGATATTTCACTCCTTACATATATTTTTGTTGACGCTCGCAAGATATCTCTGTATGGTGGCGGTGCCGCAAAACTACTGCATCATAACTAGTTCTGATGGTTGTCGAGTAGTTACCCTGCTCACGCCGGTTTCTCGAGAAAAAAAAACCGGTGAAATTTCTGGCGAAGCGGTAGATGAGTCGTGGGAGATGGTAGCTCTGGAAGTACTGGAAGTGAAATCTTGCGGATTGGAAAAATACGGTCACTTCTTCCATCCCGATCCTGTACCATGACTGAACTACCTGGAGCAAAAAGGGATTGATCGGTATCCGAGGGTTTGATTCTCCTACTTTCTTGCATACCGAAGAATCGATGTCATTGTGTGAAGTACTAAAAACGAAGCACTTCGAAGGAAAAGTTCTCTGCACCAAAAAACGTTCCTTCAAAAGCATTCGTGCTATCACATAGGTGACATGCGTCAAGATCGGAGCGGAGGTGATGTGTCAACTGGTTGTCGGGTTCTTGGTTTTCTTAAGCTTCTCTCGCAGGTCTTCTTTTTCGCATTATTCACTTGGCCGAGTCATTCACTTCTATTTACTCAGCTTTTTATTCATTTACTTTCAATTTTCCTTATTTTTCAGTTGCTCTCTAGTTTCTTCCTAGTTTTCTTCTTTGCATGAGTTCACATCAACAAATAATTGTGAAGTTTTCGATTCCCTAATCCATCAAGCGGAAAAGGGTGAGACCATGTATCAACTGCGTTCTGTCGTCTCTCGATGTTTTCCATAAGAGGCTTTTTAGGCGTCATCAGAGTAGCGTAAATATTGTTGATGGTGGTGAAGGGGGCGTCAATTTTCTGCGTATTTGAGTCACTTTTCTGGTGGTATTAGAGGCAATTATGGGAACGTATCGGTTTACACTTCATATCCTGGGGATGGGAGAGGCGAGGCTGTGTACTTTATTTGAGAATGGAGGAAGATACTTTCTTCGTAGCTTATTTCCTTTTTGTTGCAACTGATGCAACTGTTGGTGCATTTTGTTAGGCAAAGACATAACTATAATTGTCCCAAAAAGAAAGTATCCAACCATGAGGAGCAGCCGCCGCCACGTTCAAATAAAGTATGCAAGCACGCCTTCTCCTTCCCTGAGATATGGAGTGTTATGCGGTTGATTTACTGGGTGGTATAACGGAGTTTTCTTTGCGGCGTTGCGAACAACTGCTGGA